AAACATGTGTTGCAAGGATCAGGATGTTGTAAGAGTCCAATAATTATAAATATCTATGCAAAAATAACTTGCTTTCACTGTCATCAACATTGCATAGAATATATATTAGACCACCGGAAAAATTTCGGAAATGAAAATAATGACAGAGCTTGAATTTAATCGTGGGAAAATAGTAAAAACTAGTTGATGCCTGCCTCTGGACCTTCCAACTGGACAGCTCCGCAATAGCTCATATCATGCACAAGCACTCCACGTTTTAATTTCTTTAAGAGAGCCCTTGAGCCTCTTCCTCTTCCTCTACATAACAAAACAATAACTTATGTTTGAGTACACTGTGAATCGATGGTCTCTTCTTCATTTGAAGAAGAATCTAAAATTTGATCTAAACTTGTGAATCACTAAAACAGATTAGACAGTATATACAAGTACTTGCATTATAACATTCTGTGAATGTCAAGTATTGGCTTAAAAAATAATACAGATATCACATCAATCACATAAAAGAACCTATTCCTTTATTGATAATCTCCGTAAAAGGAGCAATTCGTTACCTGCCATGCAGACCAAGGGGAATGTGGAATCCCCAGAGTTTTATCATCTTGAACCGCTTCGCATGCCATACATGCGTTCTCAGTCTCTTCATCCCATCCCCTGAAGTACAAAACCCACTCCCAGGGTTCTTGCTGAGTTCAACCCTCCTTCGGAGTCAACGAGAAACCTTCTTCTCATCTTTCTTGGAAGAATCGCTTTTATTCATATCTTTTATTCCAACTCTCTGCTTCTTTCTAAACCTTTTTCTCCCAACACGATCGTCATGCCCAGTAGTTCTCCGACGCTTGTTCCTTTGACAACGGAAATCATTACTCAAACGATTTGCAACTATAGAGTGAAGACTCTCGAGCTCAGAAGCTCTAGACTCAGCAAATTTCAGCACAACAAGTTTGTGTGGCGGAGCAACTGATGCTTGAGGTTTGCTCCCATCAGTAACCATATTTTGAACACTAACCAAATCAATTTTTCAACAATCCAATACCACTCAGCTACAATGTGGTTGCTCTTATTCTGAAAGCATAAGAGGTATTGGGTGTTAAAACAATATTAGAAATGAGTTTAGAGCAACTGGAAATGGAACTACATACACACATGTATAACGATGTTCCAATGTATAGATTTCAACAAAGTGATCTCAATAGTACACCAAATTACTTTCCAGTGAGAACAGCTTAGCACCTAATTTTTTCTGCACAACAAGTAATTGAAGGCAAAGAAATCCATAGAAAAGTACAGATAGATAGGTACGACTAATTAAGAACATACAAATAAGCATTAATGGGATTAAGGGCAGAGGCAGTCAAATTTGGTAGTCTCCTTGTTGTGCAGACAATTTGATATTCACATACCGGAAAATATGTCGCTTCAATAAAAATGATTTATAAAATAGTTACTTTTGCTGCAAGTAACTCTAACTTACGGCCAAACTAAGTACCTATTTATTTATATTGAATAAATACATTACGTTAGCTAATAAGTAATAACGAGGGAAATAAGCCAATTTAAAACAGGGGCAGAGCCAGGATTTCTGTCTTGGGAGTAAGAATTAAGAAAAAATATTTTTTTCCAAACAATACAAAAACACATTAATACTAAAAATAAAAGATTTTTTTACAATTGTCACCTACGGGTAAAATGAATAGAATTGGAGCTTTTCGTTGAAGATATCTTCCATAAATTCTTTGGGATCAAACAAAGCAAACTAAGCAAATTTTATATCTAAATATTTTCTCACAAGTCACAACAACTTCAAACTATAACAAACTTGGCAATTTCAATGGAAACCATAACTTGGTGCAGCTATAAAGTAAGCAAACATCAAGTTCGAAAGAGCAATGGACAAATAACTGATTAACTGTACTATTAGTCCCCAATTAATTTAATCATCATCATAAATATATAAATTTAGGGTTGGGAAATTACCAGGGTAGAAGATTTACATCTAAAATTCAAACAAAAAATTGCTCTAGTATTGGATTAAGTTATTGCATCCCAAGTGCTTCATTTAATGAAAACTTAAAAAGAAATATTTTTTTTTACTCCTCCAAAAACCATCCATTCATATTCTGGTTGGGTTTCAACCCTACAGGTAAAATTTGATTTTTATTTATTTATTTATTGCAATATTAGTTAAAAGTGCATCTAATCTGTACAGAAGGCTCTAAGGCTTATTAATTTGCAAATTTAGTAAAACCACAACTAGCTGTAAAACCCAAATTTTACTCCAACAGAAACACAAGTTTACTTTTCCATAATCATATTGTTGAATATTCTTTTATTTTTTTGGTTCATTTTTTTAATTTTTTTTCTTCGTGGTTTCAGATAAGAAGATGAACAAGAAAGGACTGCAATGCAACTGGAAGGGAAGAACAGGAAGAACATCTTGAGAGAATTAGGGAGGAAAGCGGAAGGCTTAAACAAGCTATACTTGAAAATTACAAAATAAACAATCATCACGACCAATTAAGCAATTTGGGGCTTCACCTTCTTCTTCTCCTGTGCAGGTGCTGCCGAAGCCGAAGGAATGTGGAATTGCCGATGGCCCCATCTGCCTAGTGCGTACTGCTGTCTAGGGCTTGAACATGGACAGAGCAGCTACGGAAATTACACCCTTCCTTTTTGGAGATTTAAGGTATTTTATATATGAGCCTTACTATAGGTACATCACCCATTACACAAGAAGTGACATAATGTGCAAGTGGCGCCTCCTCCGACCTCAAGGCGCCCCTCCAATGAGGAGGCGCCACTTGTGCGTTATGTCACCCCTTGTGTAAGGGGTGATGTACCCATAGCAAGACTCAATCTAGAAAAAAGGTTATGACAAATTCA